AAAGGCCCAAGAAGTTTCTAGCTAGCTAATACATAACAAATTATTTTTCATGGTTATTTTATTTTAACTTTTCCAATTCCTTGTTCATATATAAGGTTACCACTTACAAATGTATCTAATTCTGAATTTTGTAAATTTGAAAACTATGTACTAATAATAAGAAATGTTTCCAAATAGTGGCCTAATTAGTTTCATAGTCTGAAACATTTCTGTTTAGACAGAGAACCACATGGGCTACTGTGGGGAAAAGGAGCCATCAACATCATCTGCAAGACAGTAGCAGTAGTTTTTTAAAGGGCCATTTAGGATTTAGCTGTTTTTATTATCAGAAACTTAGTGAAATCCTTCAGGAAAACAAAACAAAACAAAAAACTCTAAAAATGGACACATCCATGTTGGAAGTATAGAGCACCTGGCAAGACCAAGGCTCTGAGTTCAAACCCCAGTACTGCCAAAAAAAAAAATAAATAAATAAAAAGAACTTGTCTTGTTAGATTTGAAACAAATATGGAAACTGCAAAACATCAAACCATACTAACCAGAATAGTTACACATATAGCAGGCAGATATAGAGCTGGAATATTTAATGAGGTTGAACATTCCTTATTCAAAATGCTTGGGACCAGAAGTATTTCAGATTTTGTTTCTGCTTTTTTTTTTTAAATTAGGATATATTCATTTTACGGGTGGGGGGGGATTCATAGTGACAATTCTGATTAGACTTATATTGTGCATTAGTTACACTGCCCCCATTGTCTCTCCCCCTAAACTTCCTCCCTGCCCCACTGAAAGCAACTGCAAGAGGTTTCTTAGTTCTGTATCATGTTTCTGTTTACCCAGATGGTTTCAAATTCCTGGGCTCAAGGAATCCTCCTGCCTCAGCCATCCAAGTAACTGTGACTATAGGTACATGCCACCAGGCCCAGCTCAGATTTTGGATTTTTCCAGATTTTGGAATATTTGCATAAACTTGGACAGCTGAGCATCCCTAATCAAATATTCCAAAATCCAAAATCCTCCAAAATCTAAAACTTACTTTAAGGAAATTTAGAAATGCTTAACCTACTTTTGCATAGTCATGGACTATACTATATTCTCCATATATCAGAAGATTCATATTCTAAAAATAAATTGCTATGTTGTATTTTCTAAAACAGCATATATAATAGATTATAAATTAATCTAGAAGAGTAGAAATACTTTACCTCATCCTTTGGAAAATACATCTATATCTAATATTAATCTAATAACTAAATAAAAATCTTACCAAAGCTTTCCTATGTTTATAGATGAAATCTTCAGCTGACTTAGCCCATTTGGGGAGAATGGTATCATTCACTAGTTCTTTGGAAACTTGTAGACGACCCAAATTAAATTCTAAGACATGTAAAAGATAAAAGCATTAAATCATTTTAGGTATAAGTAAATGATATAAAGCAAGTAAAATAAGGGCACATTGCTAAGCAAAATAGATGGCTTTTTCATTTTAAATTCTTATTTATTGGAATATACTCTATTAATTAAAACACATAAAATAGTCTTGAATGAACTATTATATGGTAAATCAGAATAAGAATTAATTTTTTTGTTTAGAAAACTGGGTAACTATAGTTAAACTGTCACCTTAATCTGAGCAAAAATGCAGTATTACTCTTCATATACTAAAAATAAAACACAATTAGAGATAAGGGCAAAATTGTATTGAGGGTGTTGGGGGGAGATGGAAGGGGTGGTATGTGTGGTAAGGGAGGGGCTGGGGAGAGGTGGGAGAAATGACCCAAGCATTGTATGCACATATGAATAAAAAAAAAAAAAAAGTAACATAGCCCTCTAAAGGTTAATTTGGAAAATACAGCTTCCTACAGCTTTTTGGTGAAACATGAACCTTAAACTCACTCATTATAAAAGTTGTAGTTGTTTTTCAGAAGAATGATCTATTTATGTACCACTACTCTAAGTAGATCCTTCAAAAATAAAGATTTGTTCTTAGAACATGGCATTTGACAAATTTTCTCCAAGTATGAGGTTTTCTCACTAATACAAAGTGTGAGAAAGTATTAACACAAAAGACTTTCAAAAAATAAGGTCTTAATATATCAGCCTTAAAATAACAGTATGCTGCCTTAAAACACCACGAGTGCGCAGTTGGAGTAAGGTTTAAGTCACGGAAGGACAGAAGGTGCAGGGTCTTGGTTTTACATTAAGTCATCACTGTGGAGCAGACATTGTCGTCCCCTGACTGTCATGTCCCCTTTTTTGTTTGTTAGCAGAACCTTGATTTCATTTGAGTATTCATTTCTGTCCTACACTTCATTGCCTCTTCTAGGCAATGATTTTAGGGATTGGCATATGACCCAGTTCTGGAGAATGAGGAGGTTATAAGAAAAGGTTTCTTACTTTTTTTTTTTTTCTGTGGTACAGGGCAAACGGAAGTTTGGTAGCCAGGCACTCTATCATTTGAGCCATGCCCTCAGCACTTCCTGCTCTGGTTATTTTGGAGACAGGATCTCACATTTTGCCCACGTTGGTCTGGAACTCAACCCTTCTATTTTAAACTTCTAGCCATAGCTGGGATGACAGGTACATGCTACCACACCCGGCTTTTTTTCCATTGAAATGGGGTCTCACTACTTTTTTGCCCAAGCTGGCCTCAAACCGTGGTCCTTCCAATCTTAGCCTCTCATGTAGCATGGTGTGACAGGTGTGTATCACCACAGCCAGCAATTGGTTGAGATGGGGTCTCTCAAACTCCCTGTCCTGGTTGGCCTCAAACTGTCATCCTCCCAAGTAATTAAGATTACAGGCATGAGCCACTGGTGCTGGGTTTAGGGTTTCTTACTCTTATGAAAGGGCACAATGAACACTCCCACTTCTAAGATGCTGTTGTATCTACTTGTGATGCTTAAAACTCCTTCAGGCATTTGCAGCCATGAAAGAAACTAGACACAGGCAATGCCAAAACACTCAGAATTGCAGAGTGAAAATGTAAAAAGAAATTGGCTGTAATATTAAGTTATCTGAAAGTAGCACAGCTTTGGGCTTTTACTATGGAAGACACTAAAATTTCAATGTTTATACAATTTTGAATTGGTTTTATTACAAATTGTTCCAGAAGGCATATTAACTGATATATCTGCTTTCTCTCATCCCAGCTCAATTCAAAAAGAGAAAATGTATAGTTAGAAATGAAGACCATTGGCAGAGTGTGGTGACCCACACCTGGTAATCCTAGCTACTACTCCTAAGGCAGAAATTAAGAGGATCACAGTTTGAGGCCAGTGCAGGGAAAAAATCACCAAGACCTCATCTCAATCAATAAGCTGGGTGTGTTGCCATGTGTCTATCATCCGAGCTACATGGGAGGACTTAGGTAGGATGTTCATGGTCCTAGGCTAGCTTGGGCAAAAAACAAGACTCTACCTGAAAAATAAGTTTAAAAAGGCAAAAAAATGGCTGAAGGCATGGCTCAAGTGGTAGAGCCTGCCTAGCAAGGCCCTGTGTTCAAACCCATAAGTACCACAGGGGAAAAAAAAAGAAAAGAAAGAAAGAGAAACAGAGATCAAGACATAATGCAGAGGATGGCAAGTGGTTCCAATAAATATCATGAAATGTGTAAAAGTACTTAGGTTTGAACTCAGGGCCTCTAAGCACTCTATCACTTGAACCATGCCCCCAGGCCTTTTTGCTTTAGTCATCTTTCAGATTGTATTTCATGGCTTTTTACCTGGGCTGGCCACAGACAGCAATCCTCCCACCTATAACCCTCAATAGCTAGAATTACAGACATGAACCACCACGCACAAGCTGTTCTTTGAGACAGAATCGCACTTTTTTTCTCACTGGCCTCAAACTACAATTCTATCTCCACTTCCTTAGTGTACTAGATTACAGGAATCAGCCACTGTGTCCAGCAGAAAAAATATTTTTGACTGAGTGATATGGTCTCTTACAACTACTCAAGTCTGCCATTAATCTGAAAAAAACCGTAAGTAGTTAATTCATAAGTGAATTAACTGGTTGTGTCCGATGAAATTTTAGTTATGAAAACATGAGTTTACTCATGGATTTGGCCCACAGAAATCCTCACCATATGTATGTAACTCAAAGACTTTGGTTTTGGTGGGACTGGGATTTGAAATTATCACTTTATTTATTTATTTTTCCAATATTGGGGTTTGAACTCAGGCCTCATCCTTGCTAGGCAGGCACTCCCACTTGAGCCACTCTGCGCCAAAGACTTCTAATGACAACATATGACCATTTTTGCTTCTCTGAACAATGAAGTCTGATAATCTCCCTCCTCTCTCTTTCCCTCTCTCCCTTCCTTCCTTTTCTGGTGGGACTGGGCTTTGAATTCAGGGCTTCATACTTGTAAAGCAGGCACTCTACCTCTTGATCTATACCTCTAGTCTATTTTGCTCTGGATACTTGAGATGGGGTCTCTTTCTTTCTTTCTTTTTTTGCGGTAGTGGGGGCTTGAACTCAGTGCCTTCACCTTGAGCCACTCTACCAGCCCTATTTTTTTTTTTTTGTGAAGGGTTTTTTGAGCTAGGTTCTCTTGAACTATCTGCACAGACTGGCTTTGAACCATGATCCTCCTGATTTCTGTCTCCTGAGTAGCTAGGATTACCGTTGTGAGCCACTGGCACCTGGTGGGGTTCTCTTTCTTGAACTATATGCAGGGGCAGGTCATCAACAACAATCTTCTTGATCTCAACCTCCCAAGTAGCTAGGATTACAGGAGTGAGCACTGGCACCCAGCTGGTAATTTTCTTACCAGTTCAAGTTTGACTCATTTATCTTAGTTCCCTGTAGCACTTCCCTGAAGATTAGATAAACCCTGCCACTGAGTAATCCATGCACAGAATGAACCTTAAATGATCTTCAATTGGGACCCACTGAGTTAGCTTTTTAAATCCTCTATTTCTTACGATTTTGGTTTTCCAAAAATTCAGGGAAATAGAAGAATTCAGGAATAAGCTCTTTCACATCATATGGATTATCCATCAGGGCTTGCCAGGTAGCAGGGATGGAATGGAACTGTCGATCTGCACAGTCAAACCTGCATGTGGAAATCGAAAGAACAGTCACAATTGGATACAATCAATGATGCATTAAATAAAATGTTTAATCTCCTTTGCTTTTTTGGTGGTACTGGGGTTTGAAGTCAGGACTTATGTTTACCTCCACACCTCCACTCCTTTTTGCTTTGGTTATTTTTCAGATAGGGACTTGCACTTTTTGCCCAGGTTGGCCTGGGACCGTGATTCTCCTACCTCTGTGCCCCAAGTAGCTGAGATTATAAGTGTGACCCACCACACTCAGCTTATTCTTTGAGGTAGGGTCTCAGTAACTTTTTGGCTGGGCTGGCCTCAAAACATGATCCTCCTACCAGGCACTGATGGCTTACATTGGTAATTCTAGCTACTCAGGATGATAGTGGTTCGAAGTCAGCCAGGGCAAATAGTTTTTGAGACCCTATCTTGAAAATACCCAATACGTAAAAGGGCTAGTGGAGTGGCTTAAGTGGGAGAGTGCCTGCCTAGCAAGTACGAGGCCCTGAGTTCAAACCTCAATACCAACAAAAGAAAAAAAACAACAAAAAAACCGTGATCCTCCTATCATTACCACCCATGTAGTGGGATTGCAGGTGTGAACTACTGTGCATAGGAGAGTTGCTTTTTTCCTTAATCTTTCTCTTTAACGTTTAAAACCACAGTACTCTCTTTTTGATATAATAACTTAACTTTATTTTAATTTTTTTTTTATTGTTTTATTATTCATATGTGCATACAAAGCTTGGGTCACTTCTCCCCCCTGCCCCCACCCCCTCCCTTACCTCCCACTCTGCCCCCTCCCTCTCCCCCCAACCCCCTCAATACCCAGCAGAAACTATTTTGCCCTTATTTCTAATTTTGTTGTAGAGAGAGTATAAGC